TGTAATAAGCTTGGGAATCTGTTTGCCGATTATCAACACCACCACCACCACCACCCCCCCTTCCTTTATCTGTCCAGAATCTCTCTCTCTCTCTGGGCTCTTGTCACCTCTTTATCCTATACAGTCATATTAGAGAAGAAAAAAGACAGACTGAGACAAAGAAAGAGAAAGCGATACATAGAGAGTTAAAGACAAAGTGTTTGATGAGACAATTAAAGTTTGACAAAACAAAGGTAGAGCAAAGAAAAATAAAACTGTGAACTCTCCTCAACTTCTGTTATTTTACACCGACGACAGCTCTAGGTCATCTCACTGCCATATTCAGTGATGCTGGGTTTGTCACATTCTTGGTGCGAGTGTGCCGTCCTGGCTACAGCTGTTGGTCCCTATCTGTCAGTAGGCCAACCAAGCTATTTGCCTCAGTAAACTCTTCAACTCTCTAAGGGACACTCGGACAACATGAGCCATGTGAACAACAGACTGGTGGCGCATCGACAAAATGAACTTCCAACCCAATCTTTTCAGAAAAGATAACGCAAGCTTCAAAGTAATGCTAAGAATCTTTTCATGAATAAATTGTTGATGCTGTACAGTATTTTTTCAATAAAACAGCAGCTTCCCCTACAGCAAAATCCAAGGGAGAAAAGAAAAGCCAATGCCGCCTCACCTGCTAATATTATACAGGCTCATTTTCTTTTGTGCTTTTGAACCTACTTGCTTCAACCTGTAAACAAAAATATGAATAAAATCAGCTATACAAAACATGCTGAAGAATCTGTGGGAGTGAGGAATCTGAAATTTAATGAATCAATTTTTTTTTTTTTTTTTGGCGTCACAAGACCATTAACACAATATGGGACCACTTGGGGAGACTTTTGCCTACTTTGCAGAGGTTGAAGCTGGGTTTACTTTATCAAACCAATAAATTATTTTAACATCCAGAGGGCAATATTATTGGTGTGCATCTTTAAAATGAATTTACTCACCTGCTGTAACTTCGTCAGAGAACGGTTTCAGGGGTTATTTTGGTATCAGCTGTTTAAATTTGCAGACTTGCAGCCAGAATCAGCAGTAGCGTTAGCAAAGAGACAGCCACCCAACAAAAACAACTGAAATCAAGTATTTCACTGACAGCAGGTTTAACGAAGAGCCAACAATTCAGCTGACTGTGCAAACCAAACATTCTGCGAGGTAGAAAAAAACATGTGGGCAAGAAATCTGGCCAGAAAAGAAATTTGGGTAACTGCAGACCCTTTCCACCATGACAGTGAAGTTTTTGAAAGATGTGGAAACATTTCAAGAGTGTGTGACAAAATAACTATGAGTTTATTCAGTACAAGAATACTTGTACTGAATAGAAAGAAGGATGCAAAGGACTTCATGTGTGCTGAAATGACCCCAATATGTAAGACTTCTGTACGTATCCCTATACTTAAACAATGTAGTTGTAAATTGATAATGAAAATAAAAGCAGACTTTCAATGACCCTCATTATTGCTTTAAAAAAAACAAAACAAAAAAAAAAACAACATCTCAACTGGATCAGAAAGGCAAAAAAATGCAAATTATGCATTGAGAAAACATAACTGCCACTGCCGTTTCCTGTAAACCATGATCTCAAATAAACCTGCAACCCTAGACTAACCTCTGAACCAGTCTTTCCTGCCTTCTAACATCATATCCTATTCAAACTCCAGACCAAAGACATATCTCCCTCTCTCCCTTGTTCTTCCTCTACCCCTCTCTTCTTCTATCCCTCCCCAGACAGTGTGTGTGGTGGAACGCTGGGTACCACTGCTGGTTGAGCCAATAATCCTGATGAGGCTGATTCTTCAAGTATTGATTGAGCTGCTGGCTTTCTTCTACTTCACTCTAAGAAGCTGTGCATCTGGACTGATTAGCTGCTGTAGGCCACCTCTTTCACCATCGCTCCATTTCTCCCAGAGCAAGAAATCGTCCAATTCAAACTGAGGCACTTGTGTATGTGTGTTCATGAGTGCCTGCTTGGACGTGTATGTGCGTGTGTGTACAAAAGCAGAGACTAACGCGGAGCACTGGGAGCAATTAACTTCAGTCTTTTTCTCTGCATTGCTACTGATCGCATGATTCAGTCAATCTGCTGAAATACGAACACAAAACAAACATGAACAATAAAACAAACCTCAGACCACATAAATCTTAATTGCCCACCTAATTAGTGCACCAGTCATTCACTCATACAGTTAAGTTAACAGGAGGAGGTACTGTTAGTATTCATCATGAAAAATCAAGCACCAGAATAATTTGAACAGACACTTGATTGTCACATCAGGGTAAAAAATTTTGGCAGATATTTTGTTTGTTGTGAGTAAACAATGGAGCCATTACTGACAACCAGTGTAAATGCTTTAATTTAATTTAGGAGGTAATTATTATCTGTAAAAATAAAAAGTGACCCCCTGATAGAGACCGGCTACAAGCTGGCGACACCATGGTAAGTGTCGTTATGGTCGCTGCACTAATCTTAAGAGCAGTACATCAACAGGGAGTCATAAATGCCTGTTTAGAGATCTACAGAAATATATGTGAGGTATAGAGGGAAACAAGATTTCGAACAGCCCTGCAACTCTACCTCAGAGGGAGACGAGCTCCATTATTTACAGTTCTCTGTCCCGAATCGTAATCAGAGTCTTGCACTCCCCAGGCAGCTGACTACTGGGGTGCAATCTCCCCATAAGCATAAACACACCCATAAATTCAAACACTCAGTATTCAGGTATTCAAATTCCCGGAGACATATATACAAAAAAAAATGCACTGGCAAACATACCAGTATGTGCATGTCCGTATGTGTGTTTGTGCATGTCCGTATGTGTGTTTGTGCATTTCCGCGTGTGTGTGTGTGTGTGTGTGCGTGTAAATGTTTAACTCCTTAGCTATCCTGATGAGTATAAAGACACAGCAGTAACTAAGAATCAAACACAAACATGATATAATCTGTCCCTGTAGGTTCACTTAGTGCAAAAATTGTACAAAAAATAAATGCACATGCAAACTAGCTACACTAATCCCTGCCGAGAAACCTAACCTTAATGCAAACATACTCATGTGTGCAATACCAAATCCTTGGTATAACATGACTGTGTAAAAGACAATCTAGTTTACATTCCCCTAGAGTACTACTGTTATACATGATATGATGTGATACAGAGATATACAATTCAAGGTGAATTTGGCTAGATAAGTGTGCAAGAAGTGGCAAAACATGAAAAATCTGTGTACTCATTTGTGACTCCTCTCATATAAACCGTTCATATAGACATGTTTGTCTGCAGCATCTACTGAGTATCACTTATGTCTTATTAAAATTAGTTCCTCCACTTGCCTTTACCAGGAAGACTCATCTCAACCGGAGACAGAGGCTACATAATGTTTGCCAAGATATAACTGCCCATACACATATTGATTAATGCTGTTTATGTATGTAACGCTCTCTTGAATAATTCACACCACCTTTTATGGAATACCACATCCATCACACCTCCAGACCCACCCACCGACATCTCCAAACCCAAACTAGAGCATTACGATATTATGCACTATATATAAATCAACATGACGCAAAATGATTATGATTCAAGAGTGTTTGAAATCTCAATTTACCAGTCACTACAGAGCATCTGTTATTTGGGAGCAGTGAATCAGTGAACGAGGCAGTGGTTTTGCAGACAGCCTAAAACACCTGTGTACCCGACTAGTGCTTCTCTATCTCACATGCCATTAGTTCTCAAACCACAGCGTAATGCTTTAGATAGATATTTCCTAACTGTATTATAACTGTAACGTGTAATAAAAGTATGAATGCACTGTGAGCGCAAGCTGCAACAGTACTGATGTAAACAATTAGCAAAACACAGGAAAAAACACTCCACACTTCAGTCTATTCCCACTTCAATCAGTGTTCTGGTTACACTGATTAACAACATTAAGAAATATTTCTGCTGCGGAGTTTAGCAACGTTGTAATCTGAGGTCAACTTTATCTGATCTGCCGCTTTCTGAAGAGGAGAGTTAACTGAGAACTGCTTGAATTTCGGGGTCAGTCATTTGTGTGGCATATTCAGGGTCATTTGCGTAGCACGTGGTGGGGCGGAGGGTCATTTGCGTAGGGTGCTGGGACCTGCAGTTTAGTATGCAGGGAGGCAAGGGAGGGAGGGCATGTGACATCCACAGAGAGCCGGGACCCTCACTGACCCCTGTCTATAATTCATCCCCTGGAATATGGGGCACATCAAACCTTGGTTCCTTCCCACCCAAAAAGAGAAGAGAGAACCTCTTCACTTTGTTGCACGGCACTCTGACCCCGTATTAAAGCAAGTAGCAAGAGAAACCCAGGAAACGCTGGCCATTAAATTTTCAGGGCTGTCCCAGGGGAGCGTTTCCAGCAGGCCCTCGATTCATGGAAGGGAGAAGACTGAGGAAAGGCCCCATGCTGGCAGGAGGAGGGAGAGGGAAAGGTAGCGAATGAGGGTGTGTGTGTGTATGCGTCCAATAGTTACGTCTGAAAGGTAAAAATAATAATATATCTTTCCTTTCATATATCCATGTGCAAATAGGTAAGCACGCTTGCAAAAATTCTGCAAATATCCACAACTAAAAGCAAAAAGGAGCAAGAACAGAGTGGATAACCAGTGTGTGTGTGTGTGTGTGTGTGTGTGTGTGTGTGTGTGTGTGTGTGTGTGTGTGTGTGTGTGTGTGTGTGTGTGTGTGTGTGTGTGTTTGGGCAGAACTAGGGATAAATGAAACACTAATATAAAAGCTGGACCAGGCCCTAGGGGAGACACTACCCTCCCTCTATCCCTGTTTTCTCTGTCTCTCTCTCCCTGCCTGTTAGCTGCAGGTATTCAGCTCCAATTCCGGAGGTTTCATTAGGAATGCAGATATCAAAGTGTGTGTGTGTGTGTGTGTGTGTGTGTGTGTGTGTATGGGGGATAAAAGGGGGGGGTGTCGAATAGAACTTACCAGATGTTCTAATCTGCCTTTGATGTTCCCGGCATCCCTGCAACACAACAACACATTTCCCCCACTGTAAATAAAGTGCCAACACAAAACGTCATTTAATAAAAAGAGCATTTTTGCAGACAGGCGCGCGCACGCACGCACGCACGCACACACACACACACACACACACGCGAGACAGAAGAACAAACTATTCAAGTGTACTTTATGAACATTTCTGGACTAATTTCTGAATATTTTTACACATTTGACTGGAATCTTATCTGTGGCTAATTCTGACTAGCTGGGATTGGGGCTGCAGCTAACAGTTATTCTCATTATTAATTAACCTACCCGTTATTTTACTGATCACTCAATACATTGTTTGGTCTGTAGATTTTCAGCAAATGGCAAAACATGTCCATCACAAGTTTCTGTAGACCAAGATGATGTCTTAAAGTGTCTTGTTGTGTCTGGCCAACAGTTTACTTTCATAAAAACGAAGCAAACCAGAAATATTCACATCTGACAAACTTAAACCAATATTTTTTTTTTGTTGCCATTTTTGCTTAAAAGATGACTGATTTTCAAAACGGTTGCAGATTAATCTTCTGTCAACTAATAAATCATCGAATAGTTCTAATCAGCTCTAGCTGGAATACAGTCAGCAGTTGTCATAATCATCAAACCCTTTTTCTGTTTCAGTTATAGAGTAAGCAGGATTGAAATGGTCGTTAGAGAAATTGATCTTGATGACATCAAAAAGAATTTGGTTAATGAAAAGGAAAAACGAAAGACACATAATGAGGAATTATTATAATTGTTAATCTTTCAGACCAAAGTGCTGCGTGTGTTTGTGCGTGTTTGCATCAACACCAGACAGAGGTGGACTAATATTGTCGCCGCACTGCTGGCAGACCTAATAATAATTTCCAACTACAGAGAAAGAAGTGGGAGCTTATTATCTGTGAATTAATAAAAAATGTGCGTATGATTATCAGGGTAGCAACAGCAGAATGGCGAGCCGAGGAAGTGGAGGCGGAGAGGGGGGAGCAGTCGGTTTTAAAAAGAGCAAATTGGCAGTAAATAATAGATGCAATTTTGGCACATTTCAAATTTGCAGCAGTGGAAATCAAAAGATCAAGAGAACACAAACAGCCCCCGTCCCCGATCCCAGTGCCCCCCCCCCATCCAACTCTGGCCCCCATTACTGACAACTCCACCCTGGCCATGGAGTTTCACTATGTGTGCATGTGTGTGTGTGTGTGTGCGCGCACACTGAGAGGGAGGAAGGCTTATCGACAGGCTTCAGTTGCTAATGCAGCCAGCAGCATCACAGTGTAAATCTACACCATCTCTAAAATTACATACTGTCTAATCCATCCCATCCTCCACCCCCCTTCTCCCTCCATTCCTCTATCCATCTCTCTATCAATCCATCCATCCATCCATCAGGCCAGACCTAGTGTGACCACAAACCTAAGACATTCCCACATCATCAACATTCAAGAGGAAAAAAGTGATGAAGAAAGGATGTTTGCTTGTTTACTCTGTGCTCTGTCAGTGAGCCACATGCAGACAAGTCAACCACTTAAGGCAAACTTCATCTAGCTGTAATTACATTACATTCTGACAAACACCCCGCCACATTCATTATACATGATGGGCGCCCGGCAACCAGACAGCAAGACATTTGTTACCGTGGTGACAGTGTGTGTAATCCGCTAATGAAGCGCAATTAGTGAGAAACAATCTAACACAGGGGAGACGCGGCGCTCGATCCCTCCTCCTCCACTCATTTCCCTTCACTTTTTTCACCCGCTTCTCTCCTCTCATACCCCTTTTTATGACCACATCTTTTTTCCCGTCTTTTATTTTTGCGATTCAACCTTTATTAAGCTCTTCACTTGCATTTAATCTCCCACTCTTTTATCTGTTGTCCTGACTTCATCAAGGGCAAGCTGTCCAGCGCTGTCCGCACCAGGGCCGAAGGGATTGCTCTATCCATTAGACACACACAGCTGACACACGTGCACACACACACACACACACACACACACACACACACACACACACACACACACACACACACACACACACACACACACACACACACACACCATTTAACATCCTCATCTCTCTTTTCAAAACATCATATAATCTGCTGAGGTCTTCAGGGACGGAGCTGTTCTTTTCTCCTTATCTCTCTGCCCCTCTCTCCCTCCCTCCCTCCGTACTCTGTGCCTTCAACGCAGAGGCAGCATCGATTTCTGAATTACGCCACAATATTAAATAATTAATATACTTGCCATGATTGATGTTTTGCATTAGGCCAATATTAGGTTATCAATCAAAATCCACTTGGTTTAATGTAATAATATTGAAAATGTGTCAGTGCCTGTTCATCCAATTTGTAGTGGAGGCAGGCCAGATAGTAATGGTGGTGTAGCACAAGGCCTCAGAGACACTGTGGCCTGCTGACTACAACCATAGGAGCACATTATAGCCTGGGCACACAGCAGGAGGGAGGGGTGGAGGGAGGGAGGGAGGGGAGTGATGGAAAGAGAGATGGAAGTGAAGACACATGAAGCACACAGACAGTCACTCGTGATACGTTGTGACAGGTTTGGCATGTTGAGAGGGCGTGGCAGTCACGTCACTCATCATATTTATAAGGAAACTGAACTTGTGGCACATTAAAAACTTACTTGGTGCTACTGTATATACAGTATGAATATTCATTTATTCATTTACAAGTAAGGTAATTTCAGCCTCAAAACATGCTATTTTTCCTACAGCAGAATAGAACAAATGGTAGAGTTGGTAGTTGAATCCTTGGTTCCTTCTGTTTAGATCTTGAAGTATCTTTGAGCAAGAAACTGAACCTCAAATCATTCTCAAAATGTAAGTTGCTTTAGATAGAAGTCTGCCAGTTGAATGTACTGTGTGACCTTGTAGTTGTTCACTTCAATTGACAATATATTAGTACAACAGGTCTTTTTCACAGCAGACTTTTTGACTTGTTTCTGTAGGAAAAGCACATTATTAATAATTGATAATAGCTCTGTACAATTCAAGTGTCCCAGTAAATCATGACAGTGTGGAAGAGTGTTAAGTATGTACAATAGAAAGACCCTCAAAATGAGGCAGTTAAATGAAATTCAGCCATCATTAATTTTATTTAATTTTTTTCACATGTGCTATTTCCTATCCCTATTATTCATGCAGTAATTAAAATCAGGACTCAAGTTCAAAGCATCTAGGTATGCGGCACTCTACATAGAGTATGATCTAACAATAACAAATAGCAGCATTATAGAGGACCCTGGTCTTCAGAATTTGCATCACCTGTTCTAAAAAATTATGAAAAGTAAAAAACAAAAACAGGTTTGAAATAACAACAAAAGGAAAGAGAGTTGATAATGTGCACATCCAACCCCATCTGGATACAAGTACAGGACAAACAGAACTGCAAACAAAAAAGAGAGCTAGTCTGCACAGCAAATATTGTAAGCTCTCAACAATTTAATGACACAACATTTTGCCTGATGATCTTAAATGTTGCATCCTTCATTTTTTTGCGAACGTGCAATATATTGTGTTCGGACCACCTCTTTTTTTCCTTCTGAAGTAGCTACAAGCCAGAAAGACAGAGAGCCTGACAGAGAATGGCAAATGAAGAGGTGTGGGGGGGGGGCGCACAGAGACAGAGAGAGAGTAATGTACTTTTTTTTTTTTCCAGGAAACGGCAATTAGTTATCTGAGGTCAATTAAGTAAAACTGGACAAACAAGTGTGAGTGTTAAACTGAGCCCTGGCAAGGTCAATACTGACCAATTTAACATGGTAGCTGGATCCATCACACTGTCGGCACTTTTCTGCTTTCTCATTCCAGCTCTTTTTTTCTCCCTCTCCCCTCTCCTTCTTTTATCCGCTTCAATCGCATTCTTTTCCTCTCGACGACTCTTCCGTGAATTCTTTCTGCCTCCATCACTCACGGTGCATGTTCTGTTTCACCGTGTCCAAGACCCTTTTCTGTCTCTTGCACTCTAACGAGGATCTTTAAGCTGTTGCCTCATCTTACCTCATCTCTCTCCCTGTGTCTCTCCTCACCTGTCATTTTGCCCTCTCCCAATCTCCCGCCCTCTCTCTCTCTCTCGTCCTCTCTCTCTCTCTCTCTCTCTCTCTCTCTCTCTCACCCCCACCCTCCCCACCACTCACCCTCTCAAACCCCTCCGCTCCTGCTAGCAGACAATTAATTACAGAGCCAGCACCAGATGAGTTGTCATTTATGGTCAAGTTTCTAATAATTGCATTAGGTCTTCAGGTTCTTCTAAGATGCCATGCCCTTCTTTCCCTCACCCTCTCTCTTTTTCTTTCTTTACTCGAACCCCCCCCCCTTTCTCCTCCTCTCCCGCCACCCCTTGACACGGCCGAGATGAATATCTTTAGTCAGTCAATGGAGGCGACAGAGGGACTTAACATGCAGAGGCAGTCATTTGATTTCCAGCTGACAGAGCTGCCCATTAGCCCAGCACTCATCAGCCATGCATTACCTCTCAGGCCTGCTGTCCTGTGTGTGGAAGCTTTAACCCTTTCACTGTCCACTACTGACCATGTTTACCACATAATATCGGGCACGATTTAACAGGCTCTCGGTCATATTAACCCCTTTAACTGTCCCATATGTGCACTTTACTAGCAAGATATAATAGCAGCTTTACTGGTCAATCAAAAATTATCTTCACAGTTTCACATTGCTCTCTTCACATGCCAGTATTGTACAGGAATTCATAGTTTTAAATAGTTTAATATTGTTTTTATATTGGGGAAAAAGAGTTTAAAAACAAAACACCAATACACTCTGTTCACCATTTATGAGATTTGTTGATAGTTAAAAGGATCTGCAGTAAAAATATTAGCACATGTGAACACATGACGGTAAATTTGAAGCATGTGGGTGTGAAAACACACAAAGACAAGACATTATGAATTAAGGGCTGCAATTAAGGGTTATTTTCATTAGTGATTAATCTGGCAATTATTTTCCAGGGATCCAGAA